GTAAAACATAAAAAAGATGAGATTGCAGCAAGCAAATAGATGCCAAACATGCCCAGCATTAAAATTGTTTAAAGTGTTTGTGGAGATTTAGATTTTTTTTTTCTTGTTCCAATTTTTTTATTAAGAAAGAGAGAGGTAATACAGTTACACAAGGTGCACAACTTCATGATAGAGATTACAGTTGTCATGTACAATCAGGGTAACCAAAATAACAAGAAATAGAAAGCTGTGTCCACTTTAGTAACAAACCGAGTATAAAATTGTATATTATAATCATGGTCAGTGCATAATAATCCAGGTGGAAATTTAACAACCCAGGCAAGGAGAAGGTGTAAGGTGTGACACCTAGAGCATAGCACTTCCTATGGGGGCACTCGTGTGGGCTCGCTCCTGAGCCACGCTCCCTGTGTCCCTAGACACAGTCAGCAGGGCACAGCCCTGCCCCCCCCCCCCTGCTCCCTCAACACGGAGTTTGATTGCAGCAATGGCTGCTTTGGATCTGCCCTGCGAGGAGGCACAGAGCCAGAAGAGCTACTTCTCTCATGCACAGCACTGGATTGTGATGGGGCTCAGGTAAGCATGAGGAGGGGGGGGGGGGGCTGGGGGGGATTCCAGGCACAGAATGTTGTTTACCTTAATACATAAAATGCATTAAGGTAAGAAAATCCTTAAGACTTTAGAACCACTTTCACTTAAATGCTTTTACTGCTCATCAATTTAGAGAGAATACTAAAAAGATATACATATGGACCCAAAATATTAAATTAAATTATTCATTATTATTATCAAATTATTACAAACTGGTACCAACATCCCCCAAAAATGTAGAAAGTATGCCGGAGAATTCATATAATTGATTGGGATTGGGATGTAAAACATAACAAAACTCCTTTAGCCCTGGTTCACACTGATGCGGTGCAGAATTTGCAGCGTTTTCAGTGCGAATTCCGCACCGCATCAGAATCGCACTCTATTCATGCAAACCGCTGCGGGTGTGTAAGTTAAGTTAACAATACTTTAAAAGCGATCAGCAAAATGCAGTGCGATGTGCAGAATTGGATCGCATAGGTGAATACCCATGCAATCCAATTCTACCCACATAAAAGAAAAATATATTTGAAATTTATTTTAAAATATTCTTCCCAGATATACTGACATATATTTGAAATGCTACAATTTTGGCCTATTCAATATAGTTCAAAATATATTTCAATAAATATATTTATTTATATACTGCATGTTGAAATGCGTTTTTTCTACAAAATATATGAAAAATATTTTTAAAAATACATTTAAAATATACTGCAGATGCGAATATATGTAAAAATATGTTTAAAATTACTTTTTTATTTGTTAAAAATAAATCTGAAAAATATATTTGAAAAAAATATATTTTTAAAAATATATATATTTTTTAAATATATTCAGATTTTTTCAAACATAAAAAAAAAAAGTATATTTTTACATATATTTGTAAAGGCATTCCAAAAATGTAGATTTGTATTTTTAAAGACATGCAGTATATTTGAAATTTATTTTTAAAAATATTAAAATATTTTTCATATATTTTGTAGTAAAAATGCATTTCAACATGCAGTGTGTATATATGTGTGTGTTTGTGTATATGTAAATATATATATATATATTTATATATATTTTGAATTATATTGAATATGGCCAAAATTGTAGCATTTCAAATATATGTCAGTATATTTGGGAAGACTATTTTTAAAATATATATTTCAAATATATTTTTCTTCCATATGGGTGGTGGGGAATAAAAAAAGGGTCCTGCACATTTTTGGTGCTGGTGCAGTGTGAATAGAGCCATACAAAATGTATGGCTCCAATCGCACCGCACACAAATCACATGTGATTCACACAGGAATGCGGTGCGGTTCCTGTGTGAATCACATGCGCGTTATACCGCACTGCATATATGTGAACCCAGGCTGGACGAGACCTAACGTGTGGTGTAAAAATAGTTTTTGTGGGCTGGTGCCCTTGACGCAGGGGTGGACTGACCATTTGGAAACTCGGGCACTGCCCGAGGGCCCGGGGTCAGTAGGGGGCCCCATGAGATGCCCCTGGTACCTTTTTCATAGGCTTTTTAAGTTTGGGCAAGGACACAGGGGCCCCATGATCCCCTATAGCCCAGGGGCCCCATGAGTTGTCAGTCCGCCCTGCCTTGACGCATACATTTACATTCCAATGTGCATGTCAGGGCCTGGACTTGAACCTGGGACTTCTACTGTGTCAGGCAGTAACTCTTCTCACTGAGCTACCTAGGATGCTGGACAACACTCTGCCTCTTCTATTGGATAATCCTGCCTTGTGCCTTGTTTGCTCTTGAACCTTGAACTCCTTGCTCCTCCCATGAACTTCCTATATAAGCCATGTCCTTGGACTTCCTACTTGCCAGATTATTGTGCCTTTCCAGCCAATATCCTGCTACTGTTCCTGCTGCTGTCTACTCCTCCGCTACTGATCTTTGGCTTGTTCCTGACCACGATTTCGTCTCATCCTAACGTACTACGATTGATCTGCTACCATTTGTGACCGACCCTTGGCTTGTGACCGACTCTGCTTTCGTCTGATCCCTAACCTGTTGATCCGCTATTGGTTTCCAGTCTGCTCATTCCCTGGTGGGGTGATCCTGAGATCTGCGACCTGGTATTAACACGCAGCCCAGTCTCCACCATTAGGAGCTCTGGTGAATACCGGTTAATACTCAGACCCCGCACCTCAGGTGAGCCTGCGTCATTCCCAGGGGGATCCGCTGGTGTACCTATCCTGCTGGTTCCAGGTAAGCCTTTTACTGCTATAGCAACTGGTCTCTGAACCTGACCTTACACCGTGACAGTGCATTTCTTTATTGATTTGTATCTACAGTACTGCCCAGCCACTATAACCTGCTTGTAGAAAACTACAGGAGGGGGCGGAGCAAGACCAGGCACCCTGCACAAGGAGAGAGAGCAGCACTGACTGGTCTTTATTACAGGAAGTTTCCTGAAGGTAAAGTTTCACAAAGACCTAGTGGCAGCCAGGCACCTAGCATTTTCCAAACAGAGGTAAGTAGTAGCCGGCTATGTAAGTGTCCCATGATTAGTTTCCTATTACTTACTTTTCCTGGCATTTGTTAGAATAAAATATATGATGAATAGGATTCAATTTGGTGTGCCGGACTAATTAAGTGAGCTCTTTTGGCCTGTATGCTGAGCTTTTATCAAACAGAAGAGTGAATGTTTCATTGCGGACTGTCTCAGTGGCACATGTGTGTGAAAATCTTCTCTACAAATGTTAGTCTGATGGCCGCGTCTTCAGTTTAACAAATAACACATTAATAGCCCTCCGCTCCTGTCACCAGCACTCAGCCAGTGTACAAACATCGCACGTGATGTACAGACAACGCCACTACCGGGGGATATGATTACTGTGCACAGATTTACATCATTCTACTCATTAGTGTTAACTCAGAATGCCAGGCAAAGCGTTATATTCATCTAGGGCTCATTCACACACGGCATTTGCTTTTTTCCTCTGAACACCTTTTACTCTTGGCAGGAAAAAAAAGCAGCTTAAAAAATGTGCTTAAAGTCGCATTTTGCACGTGTTCAGGGCCATTTATGTGTTGTGTTCGGCAATAATGCATTCTATTGGCCAGAATACTCATTTATTCTGGCTATTAGAATGCTTTACCATGCAAACACACTGAAATCTATCTAGTATTTTCGTTTTCTGCTTAAAAGCTCCTCTCTTGAAAGCGCTGGTGATGTTTTGTTTCTATCATGTAAATGCAACTCTTTGAACATGCTTGTAAGTACCGCTTGTAAGTAGCTAGCATAGAGGTGCATATACAGGCAGCTAAAAAAAATGCCAAACACCTGTGAAAATGGTGTTTTCTAAGCCCAGTGTGCATGAACCCTTATAGGTAGGGATAAGCAAAATGATATTGAAACTGCGAGGTTACAGTCAGCAAAACTTTTGATAGAGCAAGAAATTAGAAGCTTTGAGCTACTTAGGTGAAATTTTCTTTAAAAAAAAAAAAAAATATATATATATATTATATTACAGTATTTATATAGCGCCAACAGTTCGCTCAGCGCTGTACATTACAATGGGAGACAATACAATGCGATACACGAGGGGTTCGAGGGCCCTGCTCCTTGGAGCTTACAACAATTATATATATATATATATATATATATATATATCTCCACATGGAAGAATATATTTAAAAAATATTCTTCCTAAATATATTGACATATATTTGAAATACCACAATTTTGGCCGTATTATTTATTTATTTATATATATATATATATATATATATATAGTTTTATTATGAAGTGTGTGTTTTTTTTTTTGTTTTTTTTTTTTTTTTTTTTTTATATTACTGAATATATGAAAAATTTTTTTTAAACATAAATTTTCAAATATACTTACATTTAAATACATTTAATCTACATATTTTGGAATGCATGTCTAAATATATGTAAAAATATATGTTAAAATTTTTTTTTATATGTTTAAAAAAATCTGAAGAATATATTTAAAAAAATATTGTTCATATATTTTGGAATATATAAAATATGCATTTCAACATACAGTGTGTGTGTATGTATGTATGTATGTATGTGTGTATATATATATATAATATATATATATATATATATGAACAATATTATATATATATATTATTTTATATATTTTTTTTTTTTTAATGTAAGTGTATTTGAAAAGTTATGTTTAAAAAATTTTTTTTATATTTTTTAATATATAAAAAACATATTTAAACATACTGTATGTTTTGTGTGTGTGTGTATATATAGTGTGTGTGTGTGTGTGTGTATATATAATTTTGTTTTTAAACATATTGAATACGGCCAAAATTGTAGTATTTCAAATATATGTCAATATATTTGGCAAGATTATTTTTTGGAATATATTTTTCTTCCATGTGGGTATATACACTATATTGCCAAAAGTATTGGGTCACCCCTCCAAATCATTGGATTCAGGTGTTCCAATCACCTCCATGGCCACAGGTGTATAAAATTAAGCACCCAGGCGTACAGACTGCTTCTACAAACATTTGTGAAAGAATGGGTCGCTCTCAGGAGCTCAGTGGATACAAGCGTGGTCCCGTGATAGGTTGTCACCTGTGCAATAAGTCCATCTGTGACATTTCCTGGCTACTAAATATTCCACACTCAACTGTTAGTGGTATTATTAGAAAGTGGAAGCAACTGGGAACAACAGCAACTCAGCCACCAAGTGGTAGGCCACGTAACATGACATAAAAAGTAAAAAAGTAATGACGTAAAAGGTAGAGGATGCAAGTATTTTATTGAGATCAAATAGATCATGAAAAGGTAGACATTGGAATCATGCTGAACACATTGTCAATCATGAAAATAAACTCAAATAAATAAAAAAACAAAAAAACAAAAGAAAAAAAGCGTTCTGCGGATATATTACCCTGATATAAATCATGTTTGTTTCCACTGGTAAAGTATAGATCTGTGTGGATCCTGAGTAAAGATGAGCGGTGTATATCCTCCTAAATGCCAAAAAATTGTATAAACTGTGATAGGTATGTCTGGATTGTACAATGTTGCACTAGACATGTATGTAAATAGCCTTCTAATGGCTCCAAAAATTCCTCTTCTATGTAAGAGCAAGGGGGGTTCCTTTGAGAGGTTCTTAGGACAGGTCTATCAGGGTAATTATTTCCTCTTTTGGAACCGCCCCTGACAATTGATTTTTTGATGTATTAACATCTGTTTATTTATTTTAGAGTTATTATTACTGTTATCCACTGAAAGTATCCTATGCAAGGAATATCGGCCGATGGAAATTGGCCATATACAACGAAATTGTCTTAACCAATCTATCTAATGATGATGAATTACTAAGAAGGTAATATTCTATACCATGATATATTCCTCCATTAGTGGCCATGTTATTTGTATTTAAGGTTTAGCTTGATGGTGCAAGATTACAATAAGGCCTCTTGCTTCTATTCCAGGATCCTTGTATTTATCATATATTCTTCAGGATTTTCATCATTCATTTTTCATCACCATTTTTTGATCAACATTTGAAGGAAAAGTTTGATATATTAAAGATAGAAGACGAAGATTAAGAAAATTTAATACTGAACATACACATATATCTGGATTCAATATATGGACTTCATATACCAAGTACAGAAGAAGTCTTTGCCCAATATTCAGTTTTTGGCCTTTACTGCCATAGATGTAGCTTGGTGAATACGCAGAGGGCTTTTTTTTTTTTTGTTTTTACGTACTTGATTTTATTTTCATGATTGACAATGTGTTCACCATGATTCCAATGTCTACCTTTTCATGATCTAATTGATCTTAATAAAATATTTGCATCCACTACTAATAGTGAATATTTACTCTGCATAGGATTCGCAATATACTGTCTTTTTTGGTAGGTCTGCTCTTGTCAGCTGCTAATATCTTATAAACTCAATATTGAACCCTACAGACTAAGACTGCGATGCCATTAAAGTTCGTTGTAAAGGCAGGCGTCCCAATACTTTTGGCAATATTGTGTGTGTGTGTGTGTGTGTGTGTGTGTGTGTGTGTGTGTGTGTGTGTGTTGTTGTGTGTGTGTGTGTTGTGTTTTTGTGTGTGTTGTGTGTGTGTGTGTGTGTGTGTGTGTGTGTGTGTGTGTGTGTGTGTGTGTGTGTGTAGTATATTGTTTTTACGATAGGTAGATACCGTAGGTAGGTAAATAGTCTTTTTTTTTTTTTCCCCCTTGTTTATGTATGTGTTTATTTAGGGTAATTTATTTACTTTATCTGTTTAATGTATTTACTTTATTTCATTTATTTACTTTCATTTATTTACATAATTTACTTTACTTAAAATGAAAGAAAAGCCTAGCTATAACTGTTCTTAGAAACGTTCCCTCCCTCTCCTCCCTCTCCTTCCTATCCTGCCTAACCTGTATAAAAAGGTAGCACTGGCTTTCCTGTTTCAGTGAGCAGCTACTGCAGGGGAGAGGAGGGAGCACTGGCAACAGCTGGGCCATGGGATATTTAGGTGATGTCACAGCTCCAGGTATTCACAGTTGTTGAGCTCCCCCTTACGCTGAGCTGCAGGATCAAGTGATCAGGGTGGAGCAGATTGAACATTTGTAAGTACACAGATCTTTTTCATACAGGATAGGAAGAAGGAGGGGAACATATTAAGAATAGATTTATTAAGGCTTTTCTTTCATGTTTATTTATTTTTATTCATTTGCTCAATATTTGTGTGCATTTTGGGCAGAGTGGTGGCTTGGTGGTTGGTGCTTCTGTCTTGCTGCACTGGGGTCCTCGATTTGGGTCCTGGTCAGGACACTAGCTGCATTCTCTTTGTTATTGGATGGGTTTCCTTCAGATACTCCGGTCCCCTCCCACACTCCAAAGACATGTTCGGAGTTAATTGGCTCGTATCGAAAATTGGTTGTAGTATGATATTCTACTGATTGCACCCAAAATTACCTCACCATCTGCCCCAACAGCAGATAAAAGCACTTTGAGTCCCAAGGGACAAAAGCTATTTAGGAATATAAAGTTAGAAAGACTGTTGCTTTATTTTATTTTTCAAAGTTCTTGGCATTTACATTTTTTTCCTTTTTCGTATACATACTATTGGTCGTTGTTTGTCTACTGGAGGTTTTTCAATGTCTGTTTTTTTTTTTTTCCTTTCTTTGAAAAATACATAAAATATTGAGGTCTAAGGAGGGGCCATTTTTGGCAGAAGAACCAAACTGTCAATGACAGCTACAGCTCTCCATTTACAATCTGGAGCCAGTGGGAGAAATCATCAAGTGTAACTGCTGGGCAGCCAGTCACAGTAGTCCCGTGATCAGGAACTCTGTCTCCCATCATTCAAAACCCCTTAAAGGGTCCAGTGGGAGATGATGGATATCTAAAGCCAAGAGAGAGAGAGAGTAGAGAAGGGTTACCAACATGTCAGGTTATTAAATGCTGTCTCTCGCCACATTGGGGAGATTCTCCACCACTGTTTGTTCCAGAGACCATCATCACCAGGGCTGAAAGGGACTGAAAATCCAAAAATGTAAGTTTTCATTGGAAGAGTACTAAAGGGGAAGTGTTTTTAATGGGGACACTTGTGATGACAACTGGCTAGGGGATTTCTTGCATTTTTTTGGAGAAATTTTCTTGCACTTCTTGTTGTGTCTTCGAAAAAGGAAGTGAAGGTCAATCTCCTCAATGGTAAACAGAAAAAAAACTGAGAGGTGTTTTAACTCTTTCCTACTATATGCAAAACAAAAAAAGTTTCGCCTTTAGAAATACTTCAAACGTTGTTATGAGGGTGTAGGTAATTGTACATAAAGTCAAAAATATTTGTTGATATATATGGTATATTCTTTTTATCCTTTATAAGGTTACCAGTTGGACCTCTGGAAACTGATATGGGACTGTGAAGTTGTTACTGTACTGACAGGAATCCTGACGCATCTTCAAGGATTTCCAAGACTCCTAGGACCTCTATGACTTCCAGGACTTTCAGATATTCCTGAAATAATGCTGGTCGTGTTCTTTGACCAGAACTGCATTTAGGCACCAGACTTTGAAGTGTCTGGTGCTGTGCCTTTTTTTGCCAGCTACCCCAGAGCCAAAATGCTATAATACTTGTCTTTTGGTTGACTGGATTGACTTGACTACCTTCTCACCTGCCCTCACCCCTTCCTGGGCCTTTCTAATTTCTTGCCTGCCACCTTCTTTGAGCCTTGCCTGCTCTCTTGCCTGCCTCCTGCCTTGATCTGACTACTCTCTTTCCTGTCATCTGCCTTGACCTATGTCTGGACTTGACTACTACCTTGCCTGCCGCCTGCCAAGACCTCTGCCTGTTTTGTCAGCAGCTCTCTGAACAGTCTCCACTCCAACCACCTCCCTTGATGGGGTGATCCTGAGGACCGTGACCTGGTGTCACTTTTCAGCAAGGAAAACCAGGACCAATAGGGTTCCCAGCCCATTTTTGCCATAAGAAACTCTGGTGAAGACCAACTGTTACTTTGATTCCACACTGTGGGTGAGTCTGCATTCTCTGCCATGGGGCGCCATAACAGTAGATGTTATCTGAGCTTGAAATACTTTTTTTTTTTTTTTTTTTTTTTTCTAAAATAATTTTTTTTCTAAGATTTGCCTTGATGATTTCTGTCTGGACTTGACTTCTCCCTCGCCTGCCACCTGGCAAGACCTCTGCCTGCCCATTCTCTTGTTTGCAGCTCTGGGAACAGTCTCTACTCCAGCCACCTCCCTTGGTGAGGTGATCTTGAGGGCCACAACCTGGTGCCAGTTTGCAGCAAGGAAAACCAAGAGCACTAGGGTTCCCAGCCCATCTTTACCATCAGAAGCTCTGGTGAAGACCAACTGCCAATTAGGCTCCTTGCCTCCAGAAAGCCTACATCACCTGCTAGGGGACACCATAACAGTAGATGTTACCTGTGATTGGATTATAACATATATCTTCTAACTAAAATAATTTTATATGATTTACTAATGGCAAATAGGCTGTTCACTTTTTCTTTAAGCTTAGTGAATGTGGTGAAAATTCACCTTTTCAAAAAATACTCAATCATGTGACATGCATGGAAAATAACAGTATTTTTACTTGTACATGATTGGATTGTGGAAGTCAGCAAAGCTTTACTTCATTCATTAAGCTAAGAGAAAATTCCCTTGCAAAGTGAACATCCTTTTTGCCTTTAGTAAACCACTTCATGGAGTATTTTTAGGGTATCTACCACTAAATGTTTTTTTTACGGAAGTCTTTGGCCCTTGTTGTCCTGTATTCCTCTGATTTCACTGCAGTTTTTTCATAAAGAGGAAGCAGTCATGGCTTTGACTGTACAACAACTGTGGAACCATCCATTCTGTTCTCTCTCATTTTCTTCTTTTATTGTGACCATAGAGTTTACATATTTTACCTTGAGCTCTTCAGTTTTGGTTGCCCTCATGCCACAACTACCCTGCTCTCCTCTAAGCCAGGTTAGCAACCTTCAATGACCCCCCCCCCCCCCCCCCCCCCCCAACCATTTCCACACCCAGCACATTATGTAAGTTGTATGCAGGAAGACAGCCGCATAAAGTCACTTGGAGGACAAAAACATTGAGACAATGGTCCTTCTATGTCACGTCAAGGACAGAGGGGGCAGGCACTTTGGCATTATCTTAGTTCATAGTCACGATAATTTCCTGCATTTGACTTGTCTTGTCAAATGATAATAAGAGATGCAAACAAATTATGC